ATTTTTGGAGGAAGAGGGAGGGAGGGAGGGAGGGAGAGGGAGAGAGAGAAACATCTATCAGCTGCCTCCTGCACACACCCTGACTGGGAATCAAACCCACAACCTTTTGGTATACAGGATGATGCTCCAACAAACTGAGGCACACTGGCCAGTGCCAAACTTGTATGTAACAAGCTCCCCTGGTAATGTTAATGCCCAGCCAGACTTGGGAACCACTGGCTTAGGAAGGGAGCTAAGCATCCTCTATGGCAGCTCAGCTTAGGACAGCGTGTTGGAGCCACCTGCATGATATAAACACTTTTATCAAGTGCTTATATTATACGCCCAACCTGTACTAAGAGTTTTATATGTGTGGTCATTACTACGACTCCATTATCCCTCTTTTACGAATGAGGCAGGTAAGTTAAGGAAAAGCTAAGCGCCTTGCCCAAGATCACACATGTAGAATGTAGCAGAGCTTGACCTGAACTCAAAACCGACTGACAGAAAAGATAAAAGAAAAAGAAAACTTATTAAGTCTTGGTTTTCTAATGTATACCTTCTTGGGCTGCATTTCTGGATGTCTAGGGCCCATCAAATATGTGCTCAGCCTCAAGGGTAGGAGAGACTTTGACAGGGAGAGTCTGCAAAAAAGCTTGGTGGAGAGGAGTGAGGGAACTGGCACCCTTTAGTCTTGAGAGGAAACTGTAGAGGGAACCTGAGGCCTGGCTTCAGAGCTCCAAGGTTGTCCCGCAGCTGACCAGGGCACATAGCCCACTTTCCCTGCTTTTCTCTCTCTACAGAGGAGCTTGTTGGCATTTCATCCACATCTCCAAAAGAGGCAAAGGTTCCTGTGACCAAAATTTGCACATCCCTTGGAGAACCTGGCCCCCGGAGCCCCTGTGAAGAGAACCTGGTAATCCCAGTAGAGCCTCCAACAGAGGTGACCCCATCAGAGAGCAGTGAGAGCATCTCCCCCGTGACACAGATTGCCAAACCTGCCACCACACCTGAGGCACCAGTGCTGCCCAAGGACCTGTCCCAAAAGCTTCTAGAGGCATCTTTGGAGGAACAGAACCTGGCTGTGGATGTGGGCGAGACTGGACCCCCGCCCCCACCTCAGTCCAAGCCCCACACCTTTGCTGGCCGCTCCAGTGGCCCAGAGCCCAGGCCTCCAGCCAGAGTAGAGACTCTCAGGGAGGAGGTGCTCACAGACTTACGGGTGTTTGAGCTGAACTCGGACAGTGGGAAGTCTACACCCTCCAACAATGGAAAAAAAGGTAAGTCAAGGCCAGAGCCCAGGGAGTGTGTGGGGCGGGGCAGGTGAGAGTCGACACCTCACAAGGAAGGTTTGTCTCCATGCCCCTTGTGAGGATCCTAGGAACAGATGTCCTTTATTTGTGATACTAATGATGATGACAGCTGCTATGTATTAATTACCCTATTCCATCAATTCTAAGATACACTGATTCTCAAAAATAAGGATGCATCTTACAATTGTTAGAGTCTTAGAGTCAACAAAATAAGATTTATGTCATGTCCTGTGCTAGGTTTGTAACATTGCCTTTAATTTCTCACATCTTACAACCCAGTAAGGTAATACTGATGAGGAAAGTGAGTTCAGAAATGTTAAGTAACTTGCAGTGTTTAGCTTGCATGTTAAATTTGCATGGCCGGAAGCAGCAAGCCCAGATTTAGACCCAGGTCTGTCTGACGTGAAGCCCATGCCCTTACCTACCTACCACACTGTACCGATTTCTATCCTTTTTGACAATTTAACCTTATTCTGGGGTGGGTATTCCTGTGACACTGATGTCAGGGGTCTTCTTTCCTGGGTGACCTTAGAAAAGTCATTTAGCTTCCCTAAGCCTTCATTAATTATTATGAAATATAGAAACAAAATTTACATGTACATTTAAAAAAGAATAAAGTTAACACTCATGAACTTTCTTTGAGCCAGCTTAAGTAATAAGCTTTAGTTTCTTATCTGTGTAACGGAATTTTAGTTTGGAGACTCTTTGACTTTATGTCAAGGAGGAACCTCCCGAACTCCGAGATTAAAGGACAATTGTAGCTCTGTTGTCAATTTTTTTGCCACATTCAAAATACCTCCCTAGAGGTAGCTAGTTGTCAGCAAGACCTTCCCTCAACTCCTCATACACATGTATCCTGTGTTTGCCAGCACCTGGTACCAGTTAGCCACAAAGCTTGCCCATCTGGTGGGTGCTGGCCTGCTGGCACAGTGAGGGACTGGTTTGCTGCAGCGGGTGGGAAATGGCCCCCACCACACCCTACCCTGCTCCCTAATGGAAACTACAGGGTTTCTAGTTTCCAACACAGTGCTTTCCTTCTGACTGCTTCAGTGAGGTCATCCATTGAGCTCCTACCTATTCTTTATGAGACACTGAGGAGGGAGGGGCAGAAGCTGCAGTCTTTATGATGAAACATGAAGCAATGTGGGACAAACTTGTATTGGAGAAGGTCAAAGAAAGAAGGAACTTCTCGGCGTCCACGAGTGTTTCACTGAGGAGACAGGCGTTGTATAGGAGAGTTGGAGAGTTTGGGGCAGGTGCGGGGAAATAGTCCAGGCTGAATGGGCTTACAAAGTCCATATAGCAGAGGGCATGGGGCACATTGAAGGGGTGGTGACCAAAGCCCACTTTTCTGTATTGTCTCCTAGGAGAGGGAGGAACAAGAAGGGTGAATAGATTGGCTCAGAAATAGAACTTAAGAACTTAAGCTGAATTTAGAAGGTTGGACTTAGTGCCACAAAGCAGCAGGGCATGCTGCTTATATGCCCAACCTATACTAAGAGCCTTACATGTGGAGGCTCTGGGTTCAAATCCCAATTTGCTCATAAGCCATGTGACTTCAGAAAAGTTACTGATCTCTAAGCCTGGGTTTACTCCTATATAAACCGGGGGTAATTGTTCCATGATAGGTGCTCAACCGGGAGAAATTTGAGTAGAGCCCTGCTTTGGAGAAATGCTGATGATAATAAGAGGTGCTGTTCTCTGAGCACTTTCTATATGTTTATATAGCTCTGTGCTAAGCACAATATGCATAATCACGCAATCTTCACAAAAGCCCTGTGAGATCTGTGCAGTTCTCCCCGTTTTTCACTAGTAGGAAACAGATCAATCACTTACCTGATAAGTTTTTAGAAAAGTATGAACTATTCCTTTAGGAGAGTGGATGAGTAGGTGATGGACCCAACAGGCAGTATGTGGTTGCTGGGTGCATGGTACTAAGGGCCCATTTGAGGTAGTGGTCATGAATTTTGAGACACCGGTCAGCACTTTTGCACTTTTTTCCAGCCGCATTCAGTTGCTCAGGTGCAGACACAGAGCAGATGGAGATTGGATTTAACCAGGGTTTAAGTTTAGCCAGGTGAAATCAGTGGAGGAAAAGAAGAGAGTCCAAGTACATGTAAGCAGTGAGCAGAGTGATGGCTCTCAGAATCTGAGCTGGACAAGAAAGGGAATAGCAGTGAAACAATTGGAGGGTTAAAGAATTATAGGTTCCATTTGGAATCAGAATAGAGAGCTTGATCAGAAAAAATGAGTGGTGGGTGGAAGAGGCTGGACGAAATGAAATTATGGGGAAAATGCAGCAAAAGCTCTTAACCGCTCTTTCTACTGTCTCTGAAGTACTCGGGGATTCAGGAAAGGAGGGGCTGGGGATTTGATGCAGAAGACCCACCAGAACTAGTTGTAGTCAGTGAGGGGAAGCCAGGTTCTTGTACTAGGGTAGGACAGTGGGAACAGAGTAGAGGGAGTAAACCTTAAAAGGAAGTATGGAGACTTAGAGGCAGAGTGACTCCTTTCCCTCTTATGTTCACTTCCTAAGATGACATGAGGGAGGCTTGGTCTCTGGGTGCAGCAGTCTCTCTTGGGGTCTAGCCACAGAGTCTCCCAGGTCCCAAGGCAATCCCCATCATTGCAGAGCTGCTTCCCACCTGAGGTTAGTAATCAAAAAACAGAAAAACTCTGTCACAAAGTCTAAAATAGTTGTTGCAAAGATGAGCTTCCTGCCTCATGCACAATGTAATGGAGATCTTAGTACTCTCCTTGGGTGACAGGACCGGATGGTGGGACAAGGCATATGGCAGAGCCCAGGGTAACATCTCTGCCACTCAAAGCCTCTATTTTCTCATGTGTAAATCAGGACTGTAAATACCTACCCTAGAGGGTGGGTGTGAAGTGCTCCAAAAAGTTTAGCTGATATTCTGTGTTCTATCCCCGGAAGGGTTTACCCTAACATTTAATCCTTAAGAAGAGAGTTTCAAATCCCTAGAGGGCAACCTGAGGTTAGGGAAACCTCTTGTGGCCACAGCCACAGATCTTAAGTGACAAACCGGCCAGGAGTCTGGCTTCTACCCCACAGGAAGCCCGCACTGTCAGATAGCCAGGTGCGTGCCACCAGTGTCCTGAAAGCACAGGGAGACTTAGATACGGAGTCAGAAGTATTGGGTCTTGGTTGCAGATCAGCCCCTGACTAGCTGTGGGACCACATGCAACATCACTTAACTTTGAGAACAGTCCTTTAAGGACTCCATTTGTTAAATATCCACTATATACATATGTTACAGGCACTTTACATTGGCATCTCTAATGTTAATACTGTTGTGTATCAAACTGCAGGCTCTGGTCTACACAGAATCATCCAGGTCCTGCAGAATTCTGGCCCATCACCTGGATCTGCTGAGTCTGAATGAGGAGGGTGGGGAGACAGGAGTCTATATTCTAATAAGCTACTCCAGTGTGGGTCTTTGCAAAGAGGGTGGTTTTATCCTTATTTTTTAAATAGACTGAAGTCACTTGGAGTATATAAGAAAATAAAACAAATCTCCTGCCTGCACTTGGGGAGCTCTCATTCTAACTCCTGTATGATTAGACAGTAAACATTAAACCTGATGATATATGCTAGAAAATGAGAAAAAGAACAACTGGAGNCTCCTGCCTGCACTTGGGGAGCTCTCATTCTAACTCCTGTATGATTAGACTGTAAACATTAAACCTGATGATATATGCTAGAAAATGATAAAACAATGGAGAAAAAGAACAACTGGAACAGAGTGAGGGGGGATAGGTTGCAGTTTAAAAGGATGGTTAGGGTAGACCATACTTAGATGGAGAGATTTCAACAAAGGTGTACAGGAAGTGAGGAGGTTGGCCTGTGGATATCTGAGAGTTCCAGGTACAGGGAACAGCCCATGCAAAGACCCTAAGGTGGAACTGTGCCTGGTGTGTTTCAGTGTAGGTAGAAGAAAGAGGAAGAGGTTCATTGTTTATTTGTTCTGAAAGATATTTTGTGGCTTCCAGGGAACCTGTGAACCAAAGTGCTTCTCTGCTATTCAGTAACTTGCTTTTCCTCACATAATAATATAGTTTAATACTATTTGTCATGTATATAAATGTTCTACAGCCTAACCTTTAAAAGCCACATAATGTTCCATTACATCACTACACCATTTATGTTTGTAATTCCTTTATCATTGGGTTTTCAGACCTTTTTTAAGTTTTCATCACTATAGCAGCAGTACAGTGAACATTCTTTTGGCTAAATTTTTTACTGAATCTAGGATTTTTTAGATTCCTAGAAGTGGGAAGTGAGCTGGAGTGAGAGCAGAAGGCAAAGACCTTTGGTGTGTATTTGTCAGGTCCTTTTAAAGAGTGCCATTATCCCCAGCTATGACCTCTTCACATACCCTTTCCTGACTTTCACACTGGATTATGGTTCTAGGCTCAAGCACGGACATCAGCGAGGATTGGGAGAAGGACTTTGACTTGGACATGACTGAAGAAGAAGTGCAGATGGCTCTTTCCAAAGTAGATGCCTCGGGTGAGGTGAGTGGACCTGGTTGGCCACAGGGAAGCAAACCCAGTGATCCCAGGGTCTGAGACCTCTCCCCACCAAGCCCAACTATCCCCTCAGAGTGGATCCCTGTGCCTATCTGAGGTGGCAGGCTTCAGGAAAGAGAGTTAAGACCTCCCACTCAGGCCCTGAGCAGTTGTCATCGACAGGCTCTGCTTCCCCAGTTCCGGGATGGATGAATAGCAGAATTCTTGACATTAGCTATGTATCAAAATCACCAAGGAACTATTAAAAAATACAGATGTCAAACCCTGCTCCAGATTTCCTGACTCATGGTCCCCTGGTGTGGGACCTGAGCAGATTTATAAATCTAGTTTTGGAGACAAAAGGCAGTGTGATCTAGGACTAATCACTTAACCTAAAACATGAAATTGATCATTAGAAGCTTCTAAGCTGTGGTAGACAATGCATTTCAACACATAAGGCATAGTGCCTGGGACATGGAGCACTAGGAGATGGTACTGAAACCACAAGATACAGTACAGCTATGAGCTCAGAGGCCTGGTCCTCTTACTACTTAAAATAAAAATGGGTCATTTTGAATGAGAGGTTGGGAAAAAAGCTCTCATAGCTAGTAAGTGATGGGACTGAGGCTCCAGCCCAGGCAGATGCTTCAAGTCACTGTTACTTCTGCTGCCCATCATGTGGCTTATGCACCTGCTAAAGAGGTGAACAGATTAGAGGCACAGAGAGGGCTTTGTCTTTCATATCGGGAAACTGAAGCCTGAGAGGAGGCACTGACCTATACAAAAGCATTTTGCACCTGTGACCTCATTATACCCAAGGCAGAGAAGGCCCTGGTGCCCTATCATGCTATGGAGCCTTCATGGCTCTTGTGTTTTTGCAGCCCTCTTTTAAAACCTGACATACAGTCTCCCTGAGCAGAGTTATTCTGTAACCCGTCATAGCAGGGATCCCGCAGGCAGCAGGGAAGACTTCAGCCGAGGACTATAGTGCTGGAGGCCCTAGTGAAGACCCTGTGAGCACCTTTAGTCCAGGGCCATGCCTGCTTGTAATTATAGTGCCACTCTCAAGCTCTCTTCCTCTCTGAGCCATCTTCTTAGCTGCTCAGCAGGAAACAACTTTCCCTTAAGGAATTGGCTGACATGGTTCCTATGGGCAGGGCATCCCCCTTGTAGAGTCCTGTGTTGGTTGGTGGAAGCATTTCCTTTGCTCCTGGAATGATCAGAGCAGCAGACTCACCCCTTAGGCAGAGGGCAGCTCTGCTCCCCAGACACATTCCTTAAGACTAGTAGTTCACTCTATGGGCAGTGTATGACCGGGGCGGGAGGTGTATCTGGAAATGGAGGCAGCAAGGGGAGCTTGGGTCTGTCTGGGCTCAGTTGACTTAGAGGAATAAATTGGTGTTTGTGCTCTCCATTATCCCCTCCCTTTTGCAGCTGGAAGATGTAGAGTGGGAGGACTGGGAATGAGGGGAGCCAGAACAAGCAGCTCCTCCTCCCACAGCACCTCCCATTTCCCTCGATCGTCTCAGCCCAGCCCTGGAAGACACTGACCAAGAATGGCCCCCAAATGGCCTCTGTCAACCAGAGCTCTAGGCACAGATTCTGAGTTGCTCCTTGCTGGCCCTGTGGGCCTCTGCTCATATCTGGAAAGGGGCTCACAAAATCCAAACCAAGAACCCTGACTTGTGCCAACCATAGGATGACCTAAGGGGGAGGAAAACTACCCCCTCACCTACCGGAAGAGCCTACATTTCAATGCTGAATACCCACTGTTCCTGGGGACTCTCGCTGGAAGTCCCAAGGGATAGCTTCATCCCTTCTGCCTGTGTGGACAGAAGCTAAACCACCAGTCTTGGAAGAAACCAAGTGAACACACTGTCCACCCATAAGCAGGCAAGGAACGCCATGCCACCTGCCCTTGGGTAGACAAGGGTGTCAAACACATTTTGGTTCCTATTCCAGTGGGTAAGAGACATTTGACTCTGGGAAATAAGCCTCTCTTGGGAATCTCCCCTTCCAGGCATTTCCCTTTCCTGGAAAGGTTCCTTGTCGTTCAGAATCTAGAGACCAAACTCTAATTTCCCACCTCCTTTCATCCAGCCCAGGCTGGTATGTCCCCAATGCCTTTCCCGGGGCTTCTTCATGTCAGATGCACCCAAGTCCTTAGCCCAGCTGTGCCACCTGCAAGACTCTGCTCTTGCTTTTCTTATCCTCCCCAAGAAGGGAGGGGCCCCTTCAGGCCCTTCTGTGCATTGCCTGGCAGGGTACCTTGTCCAGCCAGCTACCCACCTCAGTTCACCTGGATCTTAGGACACAAGCCAGCTCACAAGCGGTACAGAGCAGTGATCAAAGCTGACTACTTAAAACTCCGATAAGCCCAATTTTTCTGCCTCAACCCTTCTCCTTGAAGGGATATGCTGGGGTGAATTCTTGAGACTCTCATCAAGCATCTGAAAAAGCCCTTCCTGAAGGCAGACCCAGTCTTTGTGGCTCTTACCCTCCACTCTGCTAAAGCTGCACCTCTCTTGGGGGAATGAGGGGCTGTAGGAATCCCTGGAGACCCTGGTGCTTCACCATGCTGCTCTGGCATTCTAGTACATAGTCTGGCGTGTTCACCAATGATTTATTGGGATTGTGGCAGGGATGCCAGGAGAGGTGGTCACTTCCACTTCAGATTTCAATGAGGGGGTGGGATGGAGAGAATGCTGAATCTTTTTGATGGGATGGGGTTTTTCTCTTTGTAATTATTTCTTTAGTTTAATCTTTTGGTTGTTTGTGCAATATTATATATTTTAAATTATAATGCATCTCCCCAGAGTATTTTGTAGCTGGGAAAAGAAAAACAGGAAGAAAAAAAAGATTCTAACAGCTGTTAGTTTTGTAATTAAAAAAGAAGAAAAAAGAACTTTGCCCTGAACCTTTTCCAGACTTGCCGTTAACAGCATTAAAGAGATTGGACAGAAGCTGGAAGGTGTCTGGGGGTCTATTCTTGTCCCCCATGGCAGCTGGGCAGGACACATCCAATGTGCAGAGTGACTTCCTGCTTGGAACCTGGGAGTTTGGGGGAAGGGGGAAGTCCCTTTTCCTCGTCCCAGACTCAGCTTGACCTTTGGGATGAGGAAGGGACAGGGCCCCCAACAAGCTTTCACCAAGACTAGAAGTCAGGAGGCTGATTCTGCTTTCCTAGTGCTTCTGCTTTTATTTGGAAAGGAAGTTGCAACAGTGGCTGCAGTTGCTCTTGGTCATTGTTCTCTCCTCCCCCTGTATGTGTATGATTCTGGGGTCTAATTTAATTAGCTTTAGTTGAATAACCCATATGAAAATCACTTGTCAGTCATAATAAAAGGGAAGTCTGAATGAGGCCCTCTGGTTCCATGAAGATCTTTAAAGGGAAAGAAGTAGGGCTGGGGAGGGTGTAGTTGTTTTAGGATAAGTAAACTTAAAATGTAAAATACATATCACCATTTTAGAAGCAGGTTTTTGGGTTTGCTTTCTCCCCTGCTTTATTGGGGAGGACTTGCCATTGCTTTTATGAAGTGCTTGCTAGCCATGGATGCCAACTAACTTCTTCGATTGAAGGCCGGAGGGTCATGTCCGGTTCCAGGAGCTGCTTGAGCAAGTCCTGGCATTCAGCCGAGATGCCCAGGTGAGTGGGGAAGGACACACCTTTCTGCTGCTGCCACAGCATCTTGGGAATGTCTGTGTCATCAAAAGGTAGGCTGGCACAGAGCATGACGTAGAGGACGACGCCCATGCTCCAGACGTCACCCTTCTTGCTGTCGTGGGGAATACCCTGCAGCACTTCGGGGGCGGCATAGGCTGTGCTGCCGCAGAAGGTCTGGCTCAGCTCCCGGCGTGACTTGGGCAACACCTTGGCGAAGCCAAAGTCAGTCAGCTTCAGGTTGCAGCCCTGCAACAAGGCGTTCTCACACTTGAGATCCCGGTGGGCCACGCCACAGCCATGGCAGTAGCGGATGGCCTCAACCATCTGACGGAAGAGGGCCTTCGCTCGGCTCTCGGGCAGTGGCCCCCCATTCAGCACGCAGTCAAAGACATCCCCTCCCTCAGCCAGCTCCATCACCAGGTAGATTTTACCATCGGCAGACTCCAGCATCTCATACACCTGGATGATGTTCTTGTGGTCCAGGGTACGAACGATCTGGAGCTCCCGAGGCAGGAATCTCTGGATAAATTCTGAGGAAACAAGGGGAAAAGAGAGAGGGTATTAATCCGGAAGGGCCTAACTCCTCCCTCCAGTCTCCTTTCCAACCCCTCTGCCTGCCCACCATGTCTGGGCTCATGGCTTCTAATAATGTAAAGTTCCCTTTAACACTCTTAAATCTCTAGATGCTTGGACAGTGCAAAGAATATTCATCTTATTTTTGTAGTTAATATATTTTTCAAAGGAACTACTACTTGCCAACCTCAAGGACTGCTGTAAGCAGCCTGTGAGACCATAAATATCCAAGTGCTTGAGGGACTGTTAGACAAAGCCATTGAATCAATATTATGAGGCCTGATTTGCCTACATAGCAGCTGTAGGTGAACCAGCTCCTCTCACCCTTGTCTCCTGACCCACAGTTCTTTCCATGAGCCTAGTCTTTTCCCCATCTCTACCTTCCCTCTAAACCAGCTCCTTCTGTAGTCCTGATCACAGCCTCTCTGCCAATCTCTGTTCCCCTGATAGGCTTGGGTTCTACCTCTGACCACCCTTCACCTCTTGCCACTTTAATCTTGGCTTTTGGAGGGTGTGATGTTCCTGGACTCCCAGAATCCCTTTATTCCCCACTGACCTAATCCAGAGCCACAATCTCTCTCGCTTTCCTTGGTTTCAGACTAAAGGAGAGCAGGAATGATCCTTCTGACTGGAGGAAGCCCCCACCGACCTCACCCCTCCCTTCCTCCAAAGGGGCCCCAGCTCACCTTCTGGCCCTCCCATCTTGTCTATAATTTTAATTGCCACCTTTCTTTGGTGTTTTTTGGAAAATGCTTCTTTGACTTTTGAGTAGGTCCCTTCCCCAATGGTCTTGCCGAGCTGGTACCCATTGGAGAGCAGAAAATCCTCCATGCTGTCTAGCTTCTCCTTCCTATCACCCTCTCAGCTCATGCTGCCTCTGTGAGGCAGCTCTACTCCACCATAGCCCTTGGCCCGGTCCTTTTCTCCCCAAGGACTTCATCCACAGCAGCCCCCAGCACTAGAACATTCAGCCGCAGGTGGTGGGGAGGGAGAGGGCCAGACATTTTTAAACTCCAGCCCAATTGTGATGTAAATGATGTATGACCCTTGGCCAAAATGGATAGTGCCCCCATCTGCCCCTCACCAGCACCCCCACCAAACCCAGCACCAGTTAAGCATTGCTGCGCCCCACCCCCCGAGCTGGGCTGTGAGTTGCTGCCCAGCCTGTGTGGAGGGGCTCTCCGGGCTGCCCGCGCTGCCCAGAATGCCAGGCTCCTTTCCGTGGATGCCACCTCCCTACTGGTTGCTGTAGCCGCCTGCGCCCCCATTGGGCTGCTGGGGGTCTGCGCCACCCAGTCTCAAGGCGCCATGGCAGGAGCCCACCGGCTTCCTGTGCACGGAGGGTGTTGGGTGTTGGGCGGTGGGAGGGTTCGCTGGCGGGAAGAACGGGTTCTGTGAGGTCAGCACGCCGAGGCCCGGGTCACAATGCAGCCCTCCCACTCGACGCCGGTGTCCGCACGCGCCGCAGACACCTGCCCGGCTCCGCCTGGACCGGCGCGTCCTCCCGCGGCCAGGGCTCAGGCAGCTGCTTCCAGCCTGGGACTGGCCACGGCCTCCAGCAGGTGAGAACGGCCCAGGGGGCGGGCGCGGGGAGGGAGCGCCCGGCGGTCCCGGAACGGCCTGACCGCCCCTCCCCGCGCAGAGTGACCCGGGGCCTGGACATGAGTGCCCAGGAGCCCCCTCAGGGTCGGAGATTCCCCATTGAGGCCGGAGACTCCCCTGGTCTTGCCGCCACCCCCGAGTCCCAGGACAGCCCAGAGCCGGTAGCTACAGAGCACAACCCGGTCAGGTGAGCCGGCGCCCTCCCCCGCGGCCCCTCCTGCTCTCCCAAGTCGTCCCCGGTCCCACTTTCCATCCCTAGACGCCCCCCCCCCAGGTAAGGGCCCCACATCCACGCCCGAACCTCGGAGACCCCAAGTGCACTACGCGGATGAGTCCCCAACAGCGCCTCCTGTCGCACTGCTTTCCGCAGGCCGCTTCGACGCTGCCCGGGCTGCCACTGCCTGACGCTGCTGCACGTGCCCATCGACGTCTACCTGGCTATGGGCGGGAGTCCCCGGGCCCGCGCCACCTGAGTGCTCCAGAGCACGTCGCGCGCGCCGAGCATGAGACAATGATGCACATTTTAAAATAAAGAATGATGCACATTTTAATAAAGCACAGCATAAACTGTTCTTTCCACTCCGGGCTGGCCGTGTAAGTCTGTCCCGTCGAATCTGGCCCGCTGACTGCTCCACCTCATCCCACTGGCTGCCTCCTCCCTTGGATCCTCCCAGCCCCAGGGGATCGCCCCTCTGGGTCCACTTTCTTCTGGCCGGGTGCTCACCCCTCCCCCTTTTCTCGCTAGTCATGCATGACCGCTTCTCTGGCAGCCTTTCCTCTCGGACCCTTTCCCCTCAGCCTGTTCTCTCCCCCATCCCCCTCCTTAGTCTCCAGTGAAAATCACCTTACTGTGCTGGATTCTTGGGGCCTAGATAAGCTCGGGATGGTAGGGGATCGGCAGACAACTTAGAATAAAGAAAATGACCACCCACACCAGGCTCATTTATTTCTCCCAAGATGGAATTAGGTTTTGCTACCTGCTGTTTTGTGGCCCTGGGCACCTCTGGTTTTGTTGGAAGAATTTGGAGGCTGCCCCTTCCACCTTGACCCTTGGTTTCTCCTAGAACCAGTGAAACCAGAAAAAGATTGGGGAAGAAGTAGTTTGAAAAACTGATTTCTTATTCCTGTTTTACAAGTGAGGGAACTGAGCCTTGCGAGCCTTATTGCCACGGTCCCCCAGTTGATAGGTAATGCTAGCAGACTCCTGTGTCCTCAGACTTAATGCCCAAAAGCCACCCACAGGAAGGGCCCATGACACAAAGTTGCCTGGAAGTGTATTTAAGCTGAACAAGTATTTTCCACTTTCCAATTTTGCTTTAATGAACTTGTATGTTTTAATATTGGAAAAAATATGTGTAAGCCAAAGACCAGATTTAGTCTCCTGCCCCCTGAGATCTAAGTACAATTGACTCAATTTTCCTCCCCTAACTCACATAGGGTAGAAGGCCAGACTGTCCCTAGAGCACTTCAGAATCCCATAATCACCTATAAGGTGACTTCTTGGCTTCTACACAAAACGCTCTCCCAGGCAGTGCCAAATGTAGGAAGCTTACTGAAGGAGAGGATGTTGGCCAAAAGGTCTACTTCAAAGTGAGGACTTTAGATGACCATTCAGCTCCTGGTCCTTTAAAGCATCCTGGCCCTTGAAAGCCCCCACACACTCTATCTTTCCCCTTTACCAGAATAATCCCTGGCTTCAGGCAGTCGTGCTAGCTTCTGTTTCCTCCTCTCCTCCTCCACACTTACCCCCTGGAGAACCTCTCAGGACCCTCAGTTTTATTAGGTGGAATAATCCAGCTGTTTCCATCTCCTCCAAACTTAATGTAGGCCCGAGTCAGCCTAACAACCCATGCTGCTGCTCTGCAGAAAAAGATCCTCATTCCCTGTAAACAGTACTCACCCTCCTTAGGAAGACATTGCCATTTTAAGGGAGAAAAATTATCAGCTCTGTAATGATAGGGTCTCACCATTGAGAGCAACTGAAGTTAGCTTAAGCAGAAAAGGAATTGATTTCAAGTGGCTGGGAAGGATATAAACTAGTGATTAAAGGAAGAACTGTAGGAATCAGGGCATCTATCTGGCTGTAACCAAGGATTCAATCCCACCAGGACCACCCCATTGCTCCTCT